TCAACAGAACACAAAGACCTCGCTGTATCATAAGGGACTCCACACCACTTTACAAATTAAAAGGGTAGATTCAAAAACTCTGCCTTGATCAACAAGTAAGCGGCCCTTCAACTGTTCTGTCCAATTGACTGCTTTGCCCGGTCACCCGCCTGCTTATATCCATAACTGACTGTGCGTTTTTCACTCGAAGTAAAAAGGACTGTTTCGTAAGCAGCCTACCCAGCTAAACAACTAACCGTCCCTACAAATTTTATGTCCAACCGACGGTTTTGCCCAGTCATCTGCCAAATATTAGCATCAGTGACTTTGTCTTACAATAAGTTTACAAGCCTTCAAACTTTTCAAAATACACCACAGTCTCCGGTAAAGCTTTCATTAACTTAATAATTTTCGTGTCCAATAGACATCTTTTCGATATTTAGAAATTTCTCATCTTTGACAGAGAAGGATACTTTTTTTTCTCAAAGAATTCACTATCAAACGAGTGTCAGAGCTTTTCATAACTTGTAAAAATTTCCAGTTTTTTAACTATTCAGTCAACTTTGAAAACTATCTTCCCAAGATATATACGGAAAGCATTGTGTTAACTTTCATAGAGTCGGGCAACGGTTTCAAACTAAAGGGCTGAATTTTCTAAAGAACTCTGTCCAGTCACTACAACCGTGTGTCAGACCTTTCCCTAACTTGTAAACATTTTCAGGTTGTCAATCCTGTTCACTAGTGGTTATCCTGCCAACAGGAGTATGGAGATCAATGTGTAAACTTTCACCGGTCAGGTAACTTTTACAAACAGAAAGGTCGAGTTTCAAAGACAAGTCTGCCCAACGAATCTCATGCCCATCCTTTTTTTTTTTCTATCTGACCCCCTGACTGTCTCTTGTAGAGCTTTCACTAACTTAAAAACTTTATCCAACAGGCATATTTTCAACATTTGCATGTAGAGTAACATGTTAACTTTTTACAGGAAATGACACTTTCTAGCACTTTTCAAAGCAGTCCTAGTAAACGTGTAAGAGCTTTCTCGGTTTGTAACAATTTCAATTTGTCAGCTTTGTCCACTTACGGTTACTTTTTCAATATGAGTACCCTGAGCAATGTATAAACTGGCACCAGTCGGCTAACTTTAACAAACAGGTCGATTTTTAAAGACCAGTCTTCCCGCCTAATCTTATACGAGTCCTTTTTATTTCTATCTATCGCCCTGACTGTCTCTGGTAGAGCTTTCACTAACTTAATAATTTATTCAACCAGCATTTTTTTCATCTTTTTTTTTTTCAACTTAGGCACATAGAGCGACAGGACAACTTTGATACTTATAGATACTTTTTTTTTTTTTTCAAAGTGGTCACTAGTTACCGTGTCAAATCTTTTCCTAACTTGAAAACATTTGGCAAACTTTGTCAGCTTTGTTCAATGATATCTAACCTTGCAGCAGGAATACAGAGAGCAATGCATAAACTTTCACCACTCGGCTAACTTTTACCAACAGAAAGGTCGATTTTCAAATACCAGTCTTCCCAACTAATCTTATAAGTGTCCCTTTTTTTTTTTTTATCAGTCCCCTTAACTATCTCTGGCAGAGCGAGCTTTCACTAACTTGATAATTTTAACCAACAGGTATCTTTTTCAACATAGGCACATAGAGCGACATGACAACTTTGATACTTATAGATACTTTTTTTTTTCAAAATGGTCACTAGGTACCGTGTCAGATCTTTCCCTAACTAGAAAACATATAACAACCCTTGCAAGCTTTGTTCACGGATGTCTAACTTAGCAGCACGAATACAGAAAGCAACTTGTAAACTTTCTTGTAAAACAGAATCTGGATATCTGGAGTGAGCATTGCAAATTTATTTACAATCGGTCCGTTACTTCCTGAAATATTAAAATTTATTCATATTCATGAATTTTTGAACGAACTATAGCTTTGTCTTGACTGGATGAGCAAGAACGTTCATGTGGCAATGGCTACCTCTACTACCAGGAATATTTCTTGGAATCCATGAAAGCCCTGTTATCTGGAAATGAAAGTTAGTTCTTACAAATATCCCCACCACAAAGAAAAATCGAACAAATATACTCCACGTGTGAGTTCTGAGTCACCATTTTCCGGTTTGGAAGAGTGGATAAAAGGGGGTGGGGGTGGGGGAGGACCCAGTGCCTTCCTACCTAGCATATTGTACAAGGCGATTTATTAGGGGAGTTTCCTTCGAAGCCAGAGTGTCTCCGCCTGAGAGGCGACAACCAACGTCTGCATACAAATAGGCCAGATATATAAAATGGATCTGCATCTATAAAATGGATCTGTACCCAAAAAAACCAAAGAAAAAACCAAAGTCTAGAAGTAGACAAAAAACCAAAACATTTCGCCAGATTTTACAGCCAGTAACTGCTAAGAAAAAGAAAAAGAAGAAGGTATATTTTCTTTTAAAATGCCGTATATACTTTCAGGCACGCATTTGAACGATATTAAAGAAATTTACCCACATACAGAAATTTAAACGAGAAAAGCAGGCAGATAGTTTCTCAAATAACAGGACACTCTTTAAATGAGAGAAAACAGAAGAAGCAAATATGTAGGACTCATATAACAAACCGAACTATGTAATAATGCGATAGGCATTCACACATATCATGCTAAGGCATTGTGAAGGATCGCTTTTGAATTTCATCTATTGCGCATTATTGTGTCCACTAAGATACACAATAATCCACATTGAATCGACTTAAAAAAAAAAAAAGACATCGGTTCTTAGAGTTACCCAGCCAGCAATAGGTACCTGGTACAATCCTGAGAAGCGAAAGTGGCCGGCGTGATGCTGACCACATCAACCATAGAAGGCTGGTCTATGAACGTATGCGTTAGTTTCATACGCTCGATGATGCACTCGGGTGAGAAATTCTTTTATCTAACTTTACATAAGTTACTAACAGCTGCCAATGGCCACCCAGCGAATATCGGCTTTGACAAAGTCATGGGTTACACACAAACCGACCGCCGTGACCTAGGGCGAGGGAAAGTCACATAGTGGTCCAAAGCCTCGGTTAAAAAACGCAGAGACATGGTAACACAGCAGATGTGGACTCTGAGAACAAGTTACGGGTCCAAAAAGCCTCTCAGCAGTCGCAGCAAGGCCAGTGGATCAGCCTAGAGACCGCCTTGCCCCTAATACTCACATGGGGTGAGGTCTGGCGAATGGCCCCGCTGCGGCTGAGCTTTGTCATAAAATCTGCGTACGATGTGTTACACTCTGGCGCTAACATAGCCAAATGGTGTGGGACCACCGACTCGACATGCTCCCTATGCAGAGTTAAGTAGACGTTAGAGCACATATTGTCCGCGTGCAGAAAAGCCTAAGGCCATGAATGATATACATGGCGCCACGAAAAAGTCATGAAAGAGTTAGCGGACATTGTGGACAAAGCTAGGATGAGTGCCAAAGTGAGTGCTAGTCCTACCGTCCTCACCTGAGCGAGGGACTGGTTACTGGCGGTCGACCTGTCTGGTTTCGAGAAATACCCCGATTCAGTCCGAAAGACTAGCCTGAGACCAGACATGACATGGTCCTGCACTGTGCTGAAAAACGCCGGCTCATCATGATAGAGCTCAGCGTGCCGTAAAGTCGTGGATGGAAAAAATCACCTGTACAAGCTCGAAAAAAGTAAACTGGTGGCTGGTATGAGGAGAGATGAGGCGTACGCAGTAAAAATCTTCGCCTTCGAGGTAGGCGGAAGAGGTCTTATATCCAACCCTACATGCATTGTACTAAAGCACCTGGGCTGTGAGAAAAGGAACGGAAAAGGGCACCCAAACAGCTGGGCGAAGCAGCATCGAGCTGGCAATGGACGCAACGGAACGTCGTGGGCGAACACCTAGTGCAAAAGAACTTTACGTCCCTTTAAAGAGAAGGCGTCCGATAAATGTCTGCCAGTGTCTCTCTGTCATTTGCCAGAGTCTAACGTCTGTTCACGAACCAACAGGAAGCATGTGACTCTGGTTGTGGAAGTAATCGTCTAAAATTCTACCGCAGCGACATCTGTGTATATATAAATAAAACACCAAACCTTATAATACCAGTTGCAAAACTACCTTTTCGCCTTGTCCGATTTCGATTGTCCGCTACGGGCAGTAGGAGATGTTTCAGGTCTGGCGTCATGAACCAGGTCGGCACACCCTCCGAGATTGACTAGTAGTTTAATGGCCGAAACAATTGTCGACGAAGCACCCTTTTACTGATGATCGATAAAGCTCCTGCTGTGCATGCTTCCCTGTGGAGTTCTTTTTATTTAAGGTGAGGGTAGCTGAATGGTTAGTAGCCTTTGATGAGTCAGGATCTGCGTATCCAAGCATGCAAAGACTGGACGAGGTTGAAATCGTGGAAGAAATCAATATTTGGTTCAACTGACCTGGGGGCGAGTACCAGCAACGCAATGTGGGGCACAAAGAGCACGGTGAGACACGTAAAACACCATGGTTATTCACTGTACCTGACTGTATCTCCAGTCGTCTTGACTCGCCCTGCCACTGGATCCAGATGGACACTGGCTAGAGAGTGAAGTCGACACCACTGCGCAATTCTTCCTAGCTTTAAACGTGCATCGAGTAACTCACTCTTTCATTGATTCCTACATGAGAGATACAAGAAAAAGTGCCCTTCATCACTTTTGATGGACAAACAAACAACACATAAGATATAACACTGTTGGCTCACCACATAAACTTTACATCCTTCCCCTGCAAGATTTTTCAAACATTGTATGCGAAAAATAAAACTGTGGCGATGATAATTAATATGCGAACTTTATATTTATCTACGGGTAATATATTTTACTTTTGTATGTGTGCGTGAGTGTGTCCTCCTTGTAATTTAACTTTCAGAAATACATGAAGAAACGACAACTGAAAATAATTATTTGGGAATTTTTTGAACTCTGACGGCGTATTATCAGCATACATTACGCTTAAACTAAATTGTGGGTTAAGTTAATTGAAACAGAAATCCCAGTTCTGCAACTACAATGAACTGTTTTTTAAGAATTTGTAATATTCTTTTTGTCAAAGGTCCACAAAATATGGTAATCACTGTTCTGGCTATCATTGGAAAATTCGGCATATCCGGCTCGTTTGCCACAATTTACACCATGACTCCAGAACTGCTACCCACTACTATTAGGTGAGTGTCTCTGGTAATATGGGAGGAAATGCGGTGATGAAATGTACTAGCCACCCGACCTCAAATGACATGGGGAAAATGGAAAACCCAGGGCTTCATACTCTAATGTTGTAGTCGCTGTTGAACGACGTTATATGTGTACTTGAAACAAAATATTTTACTTGTCGATTGTTTACCTTTACTTATCGGAGTAGTTTACTTATCGGCTAGCAACCATGATTATTTCAAGCCAAAAACTGTGCGTATTTAATCGGTTTTCATCGCTAAAATTAAACCTCTTACCAGCTCAAACACATGACGGCAATGTTTTCTACCGCTGGATACTCCAAAATATCAGGTTTTTTTAACTTGTTGCCTCGTTGGTTACACTGGCTGTGGTAAAAACAACAGGCGAGCTGGAGTTCGTAGCTATCCTTGCGGCGTCATCAGTGGTCCCTGGGGTGGTGTCTATTCAAATGTGGAGCCTTTTAAAAAATCAACTAGTGTATTTAACTTCAGGGAGAGTCTTGTCAGCAAGTGCTTTACAGTGCAGCAGATGTTTAAGACTGCAGAAAGTTTCCATGATAAACGATTTACTCGACTTCCGGTATGGCGGCGCTAGCAACCTTGATTATTTCAAGGCAAAAACTGTGCGTTTTAATCAGTTTTCATCGCTAAAATTAAACCTCTTACTATTTCAAACACATGACGGCAATGTTTTCCACCGCTGGATACTCGGAGATATCATTTTTTTTTACGTGTTGCCTCTTTGGTTACACTGGCTGTGGTAGAAACAACAGGCAAGCTGGAGTTCGTAGCTATCCTTGCGGCGTCATCAGTGACTTCTGGGGTGGTGTCTATTCAAAGGTGGAGCCTTTTAATAAATCAACAAGTGTATTTAACTTCAGGGAGAGTCTTGTCAGCAAGGGCTTTACAGTGCAGCAGATGTTTAAGACTGCAGAAAGTTTCCTAACGTCCATGATAAACGATTTACTGGACTTCTGGTATGCGGCGCTAGCAACCATGATTATTTCAAAGCAAAAACTGTGCTTATTCAGTCGGTTTTCATCGCTTAAAATAAACCTCTTACCAGTTCAAACACATAACGGCAATGTTTTCCACCGCTGATACTCGAGGATATCAGATTTCTTTACTTGTTGCCTCGTTGGTTACACTGGCTGTGGTAGAAACAACAGGCGAGCTGGAGTTCGTAGCTATCCTTGCGGTGTCATCAGTGATTCCTGGGGTGGTGTCTATTCAAAGGTGGAGCCTTTTAATAAATAAACTAGTGTATTTAACTTCAGGAAGAGTCTTGTCAACACGGGCTTCACAGTGCAGCAGACGTTTAAGACTGCACAAAGTCTCCTAACGTCCATGGGATTTAGCAAAATGTTGCCTTCTTTCTGGGAGAAGTCCGGGTAGATGGAACCCGTTAGCTTTGCACAGCAGTCCATCTAGGAGACGGCAAACTCCGAATTTAAACCCCCCAAGTTCAAGGTGGGCCAACTTGCTGAGGAACTGGATGGCCACGGGTGATCTGGTCGTGAACGTTGGACGTCTGGCGGGCGTGCGGGGCGGCACCAGGCGTATGGACTCCTACGGGACATCCATTGCCCCCTCCCTAGCAGGCAGGCAATACTAGGGCGACCGGTCATTTCCTGCAGTACTCTATTTTTTCGTATGGATTTTTAAAATATACATAAGAATCGTCGCCGGAGCTACAGGGCACGTGCTCTGTGCTTGACACATTATTCAGCAGTTAGTGATGAGGGAGTGAGGAGGAGACGACGAGGAAATGGGGAGAGAAGAAGGCATATAAATAGGGGGGCGGGTGCTAGGAGAACAAGACGAAAAGCGGAGAGATTGAGCTTTAATCATGTAAGAGTAGAATACTGGAACTGTCGGAGTGCTAGGCAGAGAGGTCCTGTACTGGAGAGGTTGATTTTTGATTTTGATGTCATCATGCTCCAGGAGCTAAATACAGACAGATATCATTGCCCGGGGTTCGTCAATTATATAAACCCTGTTGGACAGGAGAGACATGGACAAGGTCTGTTGGTGAAGGAGGGAGTGAAGCATGTGGTGCTTGACATGAGCCAGTGGAACCACAGTGGATGAGAGGTTCAAGGGATACAGGTGGAAATTTGTGGCTTAAGTTGGAACCTCATAAATATGTATGCCACGGTAGACTTTTTTGTCAGAAGTGAACAATGGAGCTGGCTCAAAGAAATGGAGGAGTTACCAGGTGATAGGTTACTCATATGTGGGGATTTCAACGCGAGGAACAGAGAATGGGACAGCAGTGAAGAAAACCGACAGGGAATTGCTCTTGCAGAGGCCATGGTTGACTCTGATATGGTCTGCATCAATGATGGGAGGCCGACTAGAATGGCAATGAGGTCTGGAGATGCAGACACAGCCATTGACTTGACATTTGTCTCTCAGTCGTCGGTTTTAGATGTTAAAAGGACTGTCCTGAATGACCATGGGAGTGATCACCTTCCATGTTCAGTCTTGATTTCTAAATTTAGTAAGGTTAAGGTTGGGAGAGTACGCAAGACCTTCCAGTATAAGTTGACCAACAACCTACTTGGACGCCTCAGACGGGGAGCATGAAAAAGAACTGCCAGAACTAATTTTCTACAGCCCCCATGGTGGACTCCAGAAGTAGAACATGCATGGAAGGCAAAGAGAGCCGCAGTGAAGCAGCTAAAGAAAGTACGACAGACACCCTCAAGCTCATGAGAGGAAGTGGAGATGGCGGAGAATGTGAAAAAAGATAAGGTGTAGGCTTTCAAGCGCGGCGCTGCAGAGGCCAAAAGAGCAAAGTGGGAAACTTTTGTGAATGATATGGGAGGCGATAAAACATTAGGGAAATTCTGGAAACTGCAAAGGTAGATGCAAAGAAAAGATCGGCCTATGACGATCGGAACAATTTGTAGAGACGATGGTGTGCGTGTGACAACAGACAAGGAGAAAGGGGAGGCTTTTCTCCATAGGTTTATAGCTCAGACAGATCATAATGATGTAGACATTAGGGATGCAGTTAGAAAGGAGTTAGCTGGCACCTTGAAGAATATGCATTATGAAGACATGATACAAGTGGAAGATATCAAACAAATTTTGAAAAAAGCAAAAGACACTGCACCAGGGCCTGATGGTGTCTGGTATGGTCACATGAAGGCTTTGAGCGATGTAGACCTGGCAGAGATGGCCAACTGTTTTTACCAGAGTATTAAGACAGAATCAGTACCGCAAGACTGGGAGCACAGCTATCTAATCCCACTACCAAAACCTTTTGAGGATCATTCAAAGCTTAGTGGCTTTAGAATCATCACCTTACAAAACACATTTGGGAAGGTTTTGGAGGAGATAGTTGTTATAAAGTTACAAGAATTTTTGGAAAGGGGGAAGCTTCTCCCAAGAGGCCTGGGAAGTTACAGGCCAGGAAAGGACACTTAGGCAAATGCGGCCACTTTTGCTTTTGACGTCTATGAAGGGTTCCAGAACAGACAGGAAACTATGGCGGTAGGACTGAATCTCAAGGATGCTTATAACAGAGTGAGATACGTCATCTTAATGACGGCACTGAGGGAGAAGGAGGTAAATCCATGGCTGGTGAATTGAGTTGCAGCTGTCCTGTATTCACGTCGGGTTGCTCTCCGACTGGGCTCATGGACCTCTGATCCATGCACTTTGGCCCCAGGACTGCCACATGGATCCGCCATACCGCCTGTGCTCTTCAACGTGTATACGAGCAATTTGCAAGCCTAGAAGCACCAGGAGTTGGAAGGATACTCACTTTTGCGGATGATATACTTGCATATAGACAGGGGGAAGAGAGGGAACAAACAGCTTGGGAGCTACAAGCGACAGTAGACAAAGTGACTGAGCAGTGTACAGAAATGAGGGCTGTCGTCCACCCGGAAAAGGCGTCTGTTTTGTGGTGTTCTTTGGACAACAGAATCGTTAAAGCTAATGTCCCAAGTATCAGGATAGATGGCAGAGACGTCAACAGAGAGAGCAAACTGAAGTATCTAGGAATTACATTTGACAGGAGCCTGTCATTTAAGGACCATGTGGAGAGTATTGTGACGAGATGCCAAAAAGGACTTAGTGCACTTAAGACTTTGGCTGCAATTGACATAGAGCAGAGAATGCTTTTCACACTATATCAGCACCTGATCCTGTCAGTGGTGGATTATGGCCTGGGACTGCTTACCGTCTCAAAGAGTCAGATAGACAAACTAGAGCTCCCACAGAACGCGGCTATGGGTTCATTCTGGGTTGCACCAGAGACACCCCAGTGGTGTGTATGCGATACATCCTTGGTTTGCCGACGGTTGCAGGTAGGCACAAGGTGCTGCAGGCGAAGTTATATCTCAGGGTAGCTGCAGACACAGACCACCCTCTGCATGAAGCTCTGGGTGCAGTTAGAGGTCAGCGGCTGATAAGAGGGAAGTCATGGATGGCTCAGGCAGAAGACACAATCAAACAGGTTTGCATCCTTGAGAACATTAGGCGAGGAGAGGAGTGGGTCAAAGTGCCACCTGAGCAGTCAGACCTGTGTAGAGTCATAATCACTCTGAGCCGGGAATGCAGAGACTGGTCAGGAGGTGCCACAGAGGAGGAAATTCAGCAATTATTTCAAGATAATGCTCGCTCAGATGATTTGATCATTTACACAGACGGTTCAGTGTCAAGAGGCAAAAGAAGTGCTTGGGACTTCTTAGCAAAAGTTAATGGTCGACGTTTGGTGCAGGAGAGCCTAGCATATGATACCACAACATTCAGCTTAAGAATGGAGGTGGAGGCAGTCACTGCAGCTTTCCGCTGGCTAGAGAACACGACACACACACATCATGATTGTAATTGATTAAGAAAGCATGCTGAGGAAGATCAGAACAGGTATGCTTCGTGCAGAGTGGCATGCTTCGCTGCGGAGGACACGAGTGAGGAGTATTGTCTGGATTTTTTCACCTGGTCACGCCGATGTTTTAGGGAATGAACAGGCGGACAGACTGGCTGGCTCTGCACAACTTGATGGAATACTGATACATGATAGGGCAGAAGTGGTTAATGCCTTGTGGGAGAGTGTGTACAATTCAGAGGAGCAGATGGATCACCGCAGTCTGGTGAGATTGATGCAGTTGGGGATGACGAGAGGTTCTGGTAGAAGCTCGAGGCTCAGAGGAAAGGCAAGACGGACTTTTAATCAGAAAGCTACTGGCACCATTAGTATCGGAACTCTTCGCTGGCTGCTGAAGATGAGGACGGAGCGCTTATGGGAATGCCCCGAGTGCCGTGATGTCGGTTCTTGAATCAAATCAAATCAAATCGGAGTTTTCCAATAAAAAGTTGCTGAGCGATTCTAGGTTTCTGAGGATTTGAACAACGGATCAACATCATGGCACACGGGTGTAACCCATAAGTGCTCCTTTCTTTATCTAACTCAAGTCCGAGTCCGAAGAAGCTCAGTACAGTGCACAGGCTCTGTAGCACCGTCGAGGATCCTTAAATACTTTGGGTAGATTTTTAACTCAAAATTTTGCTCGGGCAGCGACGTTAGGCTACTCTTTTCGATTTCAAGCTGCCAAGGAAATTTATTTTAAAGTGCGCAACAATGCACATGGGCGTCTGATGTTACTACCCAGAGACCAGGGGGAATTTTTAGAAGTCCATGTCCACTGGAACAAAATCCCAGCCCTTACCGTGGATTGAACCCAGAACCTCAAGCACTCGAGACGGACACTTGCCTCGAGATCATGCAGCACCCTGAGTGATTCTAAAGTTTCTACACTGAATAGAGAAGCATATAACTGGATTTTGTACACAGAAGATTGCAGAGGACTCCTTGGTTTCCAAACTAAATACTTTTGAATGATTTAGAGATGTCCGAAGAAAATATAAGATTTTATTTGAAGTTGAAAAGGTTATATTAATATATATATATATATATATATATATATATATATATATATATATATATATATATATATATATATATATATATATATTATTGTGTGATAACAAAAATATTTGAAACAAAATTATGCATGGCGGGATTCAGTACCTGAACTGATCATATGCCATGGTAAGGCATGATCGTTCACGCTAGTCGGCAAAGTATTTGATGTTAATGATGATGATAATGGTGATGATAATAATGATGATATGCTTTACAAATATAGTTTCTTCTTCTTATTCTTTACGTCCTATTTTACAGTTCGGGTGTCGAGTTAGATATAAGGTCTTGCTTCGGGGTCTTCTGGCTGCTTCGACCATAGATACGTCGTGGTGCTGTAGAGTTTCTTTGATATTATCTTCCCGTCTTGTTCTTCGTCTACCTCTTGCTCTACGTCTGTTGCCTTGTATGGTATAGCATCAGGAGGCATTCTCCCTAAGTGAGCAAACACAAACCATTTGATTTGCTGTCTTTGTATGTAATTTAGAAGTGTTTCAAACAAATATTGTTTGCCGTGGCAAATAAACATTATCATCACTGAGTATATATATTAATGTGAAAAAAAGGGATTTTCGCACACCTTTTGGCCCTGACCAGAAAGCTGTAATTGGCTATGTTCAGAGGATCTAAACGGCAGAATTATGGTTTTATAGACGAATGATGAGAACACCCTGAACAGATATTTTTTTTTAAAGTAGTGAGGATTGATGTCTTAAAGGGAACTGGCTCATAAAAAAGAACGGATTGCCCACATCAGAATAAGACAGCCTACATTCTTCGGTCATGTCACAAGAAGGAAAAAACAGCAGTACTCAGTGACCGTCGGAAAGTTTGAGGGGAAAAGGGGCAGAGGGAGACAGAGAGAGAAGATGCTTGGTAGTCTGGCATCATAGCATGGAAGATATAAGGTCCTGCTTCGTGCTCTTCTGGCTGCTTTGAGCACAGACACATCGTGGTGCTGTAGAGTTTCTCTGATGTTATCTTCCTATATGTGCTTGGTCTATCTCCTGCTCTTGCCCTTCTCCTCTTTTGGTATATGCCTGTAACTGGCGAAAGCAGATGAGATTTCGCAGCTCTGTGTGAGTCTTGCTGCCCCATTTAAAAAAAAAAAAAAAGAAACAGAAAAAATATTATAATAAAAGAGACCGACTGCATCATTAACAGTCATGACGTAAAACGCCACTATTCTTGGATATTTCCTTTGGAGTTAAAGTGCAGCTGCCTGAAAGGCGAGGAGTTAACGTCTGCCTACAACAAAGCCAATTCTGTATAACAGATGTGTACGCAAAATTTAGGTTTTTGGAACAAGACCAAAATTCAGAAGTGGACGAACAGTCGAAACTTTCTGTCGGAATATCCCGCTGGGAAAAGCTAAGAAG